TACAAATGTATGTGCAAAGATTGATTATGTTCCTCCGTTCAATATACACACCTAAAAAGGGAGAGGTTTTTTAGCCTTTTTCTCTTTTTCTCCTCCTTTTTAGACCGTTGAAAACTGTGTATGCATTTTGAGGAACCTCTCATACAGGCTCGCTGCAGAAACATCTCAGGGACAGCAGATGGGAACAGACGAACTCGATGGGTTACTGTGTGGTGATGCTAATGGCAAAGATGCAGAGAGTTCAGGTTGTTGGGGCAAGAAGAAGAAGAAAAAGAAATCCCAAGATCAGGTAATGGAAGTTACTTTCAGCAACAAGAATAAGTGCCTATCAGTGAGATAGGCAGAGTTAATATATTGTGTTTGTGAGTATGTGATAAAAAATGTGTAGAGGGATCTCCTAAATAATTATAAACTGCTTAGAAATTAATGGTAAGCCATTTATAATTAATTGTGAAACTCCTAAAATACAAACATAATTTAGCTCACTTTATGGCCCCTTTCCATTGCTTGTGTAAAGGGACCATAGTGCCAATTAAAATCAGGCCCATATGTGTTTATTTGCTTGGATGTCCTGTAGGCCATAGTTCTGCACTGAAGAAAAGATTCTAGTCAGAGACATTCATTTACGCCACAATTTCCAAAAAGGACTGTATCACAACTATCACAAAACAGTTCTTCCAAGATCTAACTGCATTTGGCTACACAGAATTTGTACCATTATCTGTAATAGTACTACCAAACAACTTCCAATGATTGTATAATTGCTTCTGTTTTCACGTAGTGGGACTGTTGAAAGAGCTGCTGAAGTGAACAGCAGCAACTGGAGAGGCAGGCAGAACACATCGTTTTCTGCCATTCCCAACCCTAAAACTTTTAGCTGAGGGCGAGGATTGACTCCATAACTTTATAATATTGTCTCTGAATGTACAAGGCTTTTCTTAAGAGAGAATTTGTCCATTTGATTATAGTATTCCATCTGTATTTATGTGAGCTAAAATTAGTTATGATTCAGGAATAAATGGTCAGCAATGTCCATAAGTGTCACGATTACAAGGGTAACTTCCTTTCTCTCCCCTTTATGGACTCTCTGAGTGCTCCCCATCAGGTGTCAAATTTTTTGCCTTTACCTATCCTGGAATGGAATCATACAATTCTCCCACTCCTAGCCCAGGGCCTGGCCACAGTACACCGTGTATCAACTGTTCTTATCCTGCAGGCCCAACTGAGTTTGGGCACCTGTAGTTCTTCCCTTCAGGAGTCTGTGACCAGTTATGTACAGTGATTACACAGCCTTCTTAAAACAGAAGTTGTGTGTATTTTATTCGTAAGGACAAAGCTTTTAGAGAAAAGGGATTTTAAAACAACAAACAGCATACACACATGTCTATCTTATCTAAAGGCATAGCATCTTCTGGTGGTAACCTGGGCATTCCTAACTTCTTCAGATACCTTCAGCAAGGTGCTGTGCCTCAATCTGGTTCCCCACAACAACAACTACCACCCCTCCATTGAGAGAGAGTCCCTTTTAAACCATGCTATAGTTCCCTTGTTCTACTGTGTTCCCAGGTTTTGTAGCTTCTGATCAAAACTCGTCCTGCAGGCTCAGCACAAGATGGAGCCAGAGTTCCCAGAGACAATGGTTCGGGCATTGTACCTTAGCAACTCTCATGTGTTTACTCAGCAGAGGCTTATTTGAGCCATTCATTTCCTTCCTGCCTGTTTTTTTTTTCCAGACAAACTCCTGTTGAATTAATTCAATATATTCATAAATTACCACAGGGCTGTTCCAAATATGTCACAATGAAGATTTAGCTATTGGAAGTAGTTGAGCATTGACATACTTGCACTGTCTGCTGAAAGATTACCTCTAGATGTTGAGAGAAAACCAAAAAAGTATTGTGACTAAGAAGGGGAACAAATGGAAAAGACTCTCCAGCTCATATTTCAGTGTGGCTAGCAACATCTGTAGACTGTGAAATTTAACTCAAGTAATTCAACATGCCCAAATATTTAAGTTGCTCCATTTTATTTTTTAGCAAAGTTAAATTTTAAATTTATTTGTTACCTCCTACTTTTGTTCTTTATTGTATTTCACTGAGAAATAGATTACAACTCAGTAAGTCTGAGAAGGGCTGACAGAATATTATTACCATGAAGGCCTCTGTAATATTACTGTTGCTCAGTGCTACTACTGAGCATATGTAGTGAGACAGTGAAATTGGGTAGTGGAATGTGAAGTTTTTAATGATGGCAGAAGGGAACTTTTTCCACTTCTCTTCAGAATTGTTTTCCCATACAACCATTTATTTATGTTTCAAAAGGATCTTTGTAGAACAGTACACAATTGAATATACCTGAGGTTATACAAGTAAATGATCTAGAGGTACAGAAAATATACTTGCGAATATAAAGGTAAATTGTATTAATGGGAAATAACAGTCTAAATTACTGTTGTTTAATGAGTCAATTTTGGAGTAAAATTCAAGCCCTGAAAAACATATTAAAAACAAAGTTAAACTACTGGTAGGATTCTAATTTCACCCATACTGATGTAATAAATATTCCAATAGTCAAACAGCTTTTATTTTGTATTGACTTTTGTCAGGGATTTTATATGCTAGAATATAATGCAAGAAAGTGTTACAAAAATGACAAAGGAAAAATAGTTGCCTTATGTCATATACATTTTATAGCTGGGCCTCATATTCCACCTAGAATAAACTCAGCATCCTTGTTCCTAATCTTTGACAGTGTCGATATATTAGATGAAGTGTTATTGTACTTGCACTTCTCAGATTCCTGAACTATTTAAACGCAGTACAGTAATTAAGGATGAAATGAAAAGCCTTAATTCTGAAGTTTCTGGGATTAGGTGGTTTACACAAACCCTTTATCATTTTAACAAGGGTTTGTACATTTATTTTCCTTTAATTTTCATTATTTTAAAAGAAGAAAAACTTTGAATCCTTGTTAGATCTTGTGACACAGTGCTAGCAGTAGCTCTCTGATCACGACATTTCTGCAGCACAGAGAAGACTGTAGGTTTAATTGGAATCATTCATCCTGTTGCTGGTGGGGTTACTGACACTGGTTGGCAATTGTTGAGCTACTGAGGCAGTTGATTCGGTAACGGAGAGGATATATAATTGGGAGGAACAGGAAGTAAAGAGGGAGCTCCGAGGGCGAGCTGAGTGGAATAGTGAAGCTGTGTGAACGGCCTCCTTCTGTACACCTGTGCTATGTCCTGTCCTGTTTAGAAACAGAGGATTAAAGGTGTGACTGAGAGACCACAAAAACAGGCTAGGCATTGCTACTCACTGGGTAACTGAAGAGGCGCCCTGTGACTGGGATTGTAACTCTCTCGGTCGAGAGGTGACCTGTATGAGGGCTGGGGGATCCGGGCATAATGGAGGAGATGCTGCGCTGGTTGTGGGGCAACAACAAGAGATAGAGAAAACCTAGCAGGCAGAGAGGCAGGTGTTTCTGGGTTGGCAGGTAGAGCAGGAATGAGCATTACCAGACTTTACCCAAGAGCAGTCTCAGTTACAGCAGCAGCTCCTGCACTGGTTGGTGAGTTCCTATGAGGGAACTGGAAATTGGATAGTGGGCCTGGGGCTATGTAAGAAGGCCCCAGGGATGATCCTGGTGCCTTTTTGTTAATTTTTGAGCAGGTAGCTATCCATGCTGGATGGGACAAGAGTACTTTGGCACTATGACTTGCCCCCTACCTGACCGATGAGGCTCAGGTGGCTTACGAGTACCAAGCCAAAGACTATGCCATGCTGAAGGCTGCTATTCTGGACAGGATGGGCCTGTCATCGAAGAAATAGTGTCACAAATTTAGAGCTGCCAGATGGAACCGCAGGATACATCCCTAGGCGTTTGTGCAAAAATTATCAGACTGGGCCAATCAGAAGCCAGATAGACAGGCACAGAGGCAATAATAGACTCAATTATTCTTGAGCAGTTTACACAAAGCCTCCCCAAGGCTGTAAGAGTTTGGGTTCAAAGCCATCAGTCAGAATTGCGAGAGGACACTGTAAAATTAACAGAGGAGTATGTGGAAACAGACCTTCCACGAAAAGAGCTTCATCCCCCTACATCAAGGGAGGGGGGAAAGAACTTTGAGGAATCCCATTCATCGAAGCCCGGGAAGGAAATACAAGAGGCAAACAAGAATGCCCCTAGCACTAATTCAGTGGTTTGTTACCAATGTGGTGGCAAAGAACATACAAAGGAAGACTGCCCATACATGGACTATAGGTTTGTGGAGTTATGTGGGTGCACTGGTGTAAAAGGCAAGCCTAGGATAAAGACAATTCCCATCAAAGTAGGCTGGAGAACCACAAAGGGCATGGTGGATTTGACAGCCACATGTTGCCTCATACAAAGTACATTGGTTAGATTGCAGTGGCAACAGAAGGGGATGATGATAGCAATCCATTGTGTACCTGGGGAAAAGTAGACTTACCCTGTGGCAGTTGTCCAGCTGGAAATGGAAGGAAAGTTTAAGTGTCAGAGACTGGATGTGGTAAAGTCGTTGCCCTATGCAGTGATGATAGGAACTGACTAGATTCTTATTTCCCTTATGTAAAAAGAGCAGAGGACACAGAGAAAGACCCCAATGATGAGGTCTGTGTAAAGTTAACTCTCCAGGGGCACTGTTTAATGACCCTAGGCATATCACAACAAGTGCAGAGAGAATCGACAAGAAGTACTTGAGAAGGGGGCAACAGATCCAGGAGTGATAGATCAGAAACATCTAATGGAGAAGGAGGGCAGAAGATCCTCGGACTCACTGGAGGAGAAAGCCATGGGCAAATCCTTGGAAGAAAGACCTACTGAGGAGACAGACAAGAGTCCTGCTAATGAGGCCTTGGCGGGTGAACCCAGATATTCTCAAGCCTATGGCAAGATAAGTCGGGGAAGAGAGGTATCACAATATTGAGGCTCTGAAAGGACAACTTACTGAAGTAGATACAAGCCAGGAGCAAAAGAAGCTAGAGGAGAGGGCCTTGGAATGTGATTGCTGTGATGACTTATGGGCTGAGATGGAACTGTGGAAGAAACTTCCACCCTCTGAGTGTACTTTTATGAGTGGAAGGCAGGAGACCCTCACTGGTAGCCCATGCAAGGCCAGTCTGAAAGGGGCTAGGAAGCCCTAGTAGAACCCCAAATCTGTAAAAAGGATAGGGCTTGGATGCTGAAGAAGACCTTCCATGGAGGCAAGGAAAGGTCTCAATTGAAATAAGGGTGGAGGTATGTGACAGGGTGTTAGCTGTAGTACCC